ATCAGAATGTTCATTCCATTTTATGGGATGAAGTGTTTCCTGATTTTAGAATCATGAAGCAAATTGAGATCTTACAGTATTTTTGTTTTGACATATTCCAAAGTGGATTCTTGATTAAGAGTGTATTGTCAGCTGGCCGCAGAGGCACATGCCTGTAATCCCAGCAGCTCAGCTCTGGAGGCTGAGGCAKGAGAATCTTGAGTTCAAAGTCAGCCTCAGCAAGGTGAGGTGCTAAGTAACTCAGTGAGACCTTTTCTCTAAATGAAATACAAAATGGGGCTGGGGATGTGGCTCAGTGGTCGAGTGCCCCTGAGTTCAAGCCCCAGTACCCCCCCCAAAAAAATGTGTAGAGTCAAGTCCAGTGTAGTGGTGCACGCCTGCAGTTCCAGAGACTCAGGAAGCTGTGGGGGATCTTAAGTTTGAGGCCAGCCTGATCAATTCAACAACCCCATCTCAAAATAGAAAGGGCTGGGGATGTAGCTCAGTGGTAGACCTGCGTTCAATCCCCATACCGTAGGGATGAAAGTGTGTGGAGARTCAGGTTAGGGTTTGAGTTCTGCCTATGTCTGCCTGTCTTTGACTTCCCTTCCCTGAACCCCAGTGTCTACATCTGTATATCAGGCAAAGATTTTTTTTCTCTGGCAGGATTTACTCAGGGATAAGTGATATAAAGCTTGTAAAGTGAGTAGTACAAAGGTGGCGTTTAGTAGACTAGATTTCTGCCAGTGTTTTTTCTTGGTGGGATGTGATAGGGTGGGAGGGAGGGAAGGGGGGCTTGGAGACTGTGTAAGGTAGGCTTGGTCGGATGAGACACAGGCCTTTGGAAGCTAAGCGCCAGATCCGAGTCTCCGGGAGGAATGGGAGCGGAGGCAGGCGGCTAGAGGGGAGCCTCACGCTGGACGGGGCTGAACGCGTCAGGACAGACAGGGCTCTAGGCCGGGCTTTCCCTTTTGCTAGTCGTGTGAGTGCCCGAGTCTCTATAAAAGAGGGTCATCGGGCAGGGAGGGGAGAAGGTGCAAAATCGCTTACAGTTACCTGCACGCGGCAGCGCGGGCCGCAGGAGGGCCCCCGAGGGGAAGCCCCGACTCAGGGGCGGAGCAGTGGCCTCGGGGTTGACCTGAGGGCGGGGCAAGGGTAAGTAGGCGGCATTGGTGTGGGGGCGGTTCCAGGGGGCGGGGAAGTGACGTAACCGCACGCAGGGGGCGGGGTTAAGGCTCAAGGGCGGAGAATGACGTGGGGGCAGGTCCTGGGCGGGGCGAGGGCGGAGCAGCGTCATGGGTCGGGTTGTGGGGCGGGGCGATAGGCTGGGGGCGGAGCCAAGTGGGCTCGGAARTAGCTGTGGCTCGGCCTAGGGGCGGGCTCCCGGGACGCGGTGCGGTGCGGAGGCGGGGCCTGCGGAGGGCGCGGGGCGATGGAGGGGCGGGGCCTGCGGAGCGCGGGGCGCGGGGCGCGGCCCCGCTGCCCGGAAGCTGGCAGGGTCCCGGGTCCAGCGTTCTGCCGGCCATGGATGAAGCGGACCGGCAGCTCCTGCGGCGCTGCCGGGTGCGCTTGGTGAGCGAGCTGCAGGTGGCCCMGCTCTGGGACGCTCTGCTGAGTCGCGAGCTCTTCACGCCCGACATGATCGAGGACATCCAGGTACGCGTGTGTCCCTGCTCGTCTGCGTTCTCTGCTCCTTGCGCGGCGCGTGGACGTTCACGTCTCTGGTGGGAACCGCGAGGATGTGCCAAGAAGGCTGTAGAAGCCACCCCTTGGCTTAAAGGCCCCGCTCCCGCCCTCCTCTCTCCGCGTTGCACATACGGTGCCCATCCCTCTTGGGGAGCCCCCGAAATCCTGCAGCGGAACCAGAGAATCCCAGGCCCCCCTGGTTGCGGGTCTGCTAAGGCGACTCGACGCCCCGCACGGTCAGCGCTGCCACCACGCGCGTGTCTTGTGAGGAGGAGGCTGTGTGTTTTCATGCGGTAGCACAGAGGTTCTGGACGCCCACTGCTGTCCCCTGAGAGAGTCAGATCCTCTGAGAAATGGGGCCGCAGTGATATTGCCCGAGGACGAAGCGAAACGGTATGTGAAATGGGGCGGCGCCAGGCGCACAGAGTGCCCGTGCCCTCTTCACCCACCTCCTGCATGAAGTGAGAGGTTTTGAAAATGACAGGCCGTGATGTGGGGGATGGATGGACTAATAAAGGCAAACTTGAGGCTTTCTAAACAAGCACTTTCACATCTTTGCCCAGTTTGAGCCTCACCACAGGCCTGTAAAGATACAGGAAGGAGTATTTCCTGCCATGATGTGAGGTGGGTGTGAATGGCCAGCTGGAGGCCCCTGGCTGGTGCCCCAGGGGCTGCTTTACAGGCCAAGGCTCCATCCTCTGCATCATCCAGGAGCTTGGCCTGGTCCTGAGAAGGCATCTGTAATAGGATAAAGTGGTCCAGTGTCATATGGGTAATTACCAGTTAATAATAAAAGAAGTATCAGGAGAACCTGTTCTGTGGCCCATACTGGGCAGTGAAAGTGGTTCGAGGCCATAGTCCTTGCTTTCAGACACATGCACAGGGACCACAAGCTAAAGGGAAGGCCCACAGGTGGACACTAGAGCAGCCTCTGCCCTCAGCCTCATCTCTAGCTGAGTGTTGCTACCTTTTTCAAATTTTGAGAGAGGCTGGGAATCTCAATTTCTGTCATTTTCCCTTGACTTAAGATGTTAGCAACAAATTCAAATTTTTTTCAAGTAACCACAGGTGGCCATTTTGTCACCACTGGTATGGCTGGTATAAACACACAGGCTTAGGACCTAGATGAATCTGGACCCCCATTCTGGCTTTGTTACATGCAGGTTGAATCAATATCTTGTATCCAAAATGCTTGGGACCAAAATGTTTTGGATTTTGGATTTTGGGAGATTTTTGAAATACTTGTATGTAAATAATGAAGTACCTTGGGGATGGAACCCAATTCTAAATAAGAAGTTCATTGATGTGTCATATATATACCTTATACACATTGCCTGAAGGTATTTATTTTCCCAAAGTGATGCACAATTAAATAATTTTATTGTTGTTGACTATGTCATTATTATTATTACATTAAATATATTTTCTTATGTATATGAAACTTTTAATATATACCAATAACACGCTCATTAAAAAATTATAAAATAAATACCCATGTACTATCCACTTTAAGAAATAAAATAACCACTATCTTTATTTATTTATTTATTTATTTATTTATTTTTAACCACTATCTTTAAAATACACATTCATGTCCTTCTCCCCCAAAGATAATTTTTAACATAATGTTTTATGTAATCTTGTGCATGAAATAAAGTTTCATAAAGTGAATTTTTCCACTTGTATCATTTTTGTGCTCCAAATATTTAGGATTTTGGAGCATTTTTGATTTTCAGATTAGGGTTGCTCAGTCTGTATTAGTGAATAGCAAAAAAAAAAAAAACTAAAACAAAAAACTTTTGGTGACTCAGTTTCCCTCAGGAGTAGGGTGAAAAAGTTGTAACTTAGCCCTTTGAAGTGGTTGAGGGGGGAAAATGAAATGATGCATCTAATATCACCATTAGTGCCCAGAGAAATCGCAACACCACTGTCTGTTTGCAGGAAGCCATTTTGCCATAGACACTTATCCTCCCAGTAACATGGAGGGCTATTGTTCAGTTTAGTAGCCATTGGCCACATGTGGCTATTTAAATGGATATTAAGTAACTAAAATGAAATAAATTAAAAGTTGGGTTCCTCATCTGCTTGTCCCAGGCACTCAACAGCCACAAGTGACTGATAGCTGGCATGTCAAACAGCTCAGGTGCAGATTTGCAGCACCATGGAAAGTTATCTAGGACAGTGCTGCGGTAGAAATTTTGAGGACAAGATGGTGTCATATCCCTGTGGATCTTGAGGTCCCACCTCTATTTTTGTCCTGTGGATCCTGAGGAACTTGTCCAGTGTCAGGTCTCCAAGAAAGGGCAGCAGATAACCAGCATCTTGTCTTCCGCCTGTTCTGTGTCAGTCTTGATYGTTCTGTCCTCACGGCCCACCCATCAGTGCCTATGTCCTGTGGATTCTCCCTCCTGATCTGTCCTCTCATTTCTCTCCATTCCAGCCATTTTTGGCACCTCCCGGTGTGGCTGTGGCTCACTCCTTTCCGTTGTCCTCCCTGTCCGCAGGTGACTTTTCAAAAGTCAGATCTCACTCTGTCGCTTTGGTTGCTCCTCACAGCTCTCAGGATGAGTTCTAGGCCTGGCCACACAAAGGTCTCATCCCTCACCACTACCCACCTCCTCCGTTCGGTTTCTGTAGTTCACTGTTCATTCTTCATCTTCCCTGGGGTCTCAGCTAAGCCTTCCCATCCTGGGGCCTTTCCAGCCCCCAGGGCTGAGTTGGCTGGCGGTTGTACCCTGACAGCCTCGTGGGCTTTCCCTTGCTGCGTCACCGGTGCTTTTCCTCCYTGTACCCCCATTAGGTGTTTGCACCTGAGGACTGACCCTGTCCCTGCTGTGCTTTTAGCACGTAGCACCATGCTGGGCACATAGCATGTGCCTCTGAGATGCTAYGTGACCAGATGAGCAAAGGCTGCAGAGGAGCGTGGGCTCACGTGCAGCTCAGTTTCTGCCTGGTGGCCTGGTTGTCTAGACTTCTGCTAGGTGGGAAATGGGGCACAGGTGAGGGCCACATGAAGGTGCCTGGGGTAATGTATGTGTGATCTTTCTCTCCAACAGCTGGCAGGCTCTGGGTCTCGCCGGGATCAGGCCCGGCAGCTGGTCATCGATCTTGAGACTCGAGGGAGGCAGGCCCTTCCTTTGTTCATCTYCTGCTTAGAGGACACGGGCCAGGACACACTGGCTTCATTGCTGCGGACAAGTCGGCAAGCGGTAAAGCGGGATCCTGAGGCCGTCAGATCCCTGGACCTTGTGCCAGAGGAGCTGCGTGTGATGATGCTGGATCCAGTGAAGCCAGCCTCAGGAAAACTCACCCCGGTGGTGCTGGGGCCCAGGGAGCTCCCGCCAGCTAAGCTCAGGCCAGAAGTTCTCAGGCCAGTGGACGTTGGTTCTGGAGAATTCAGGGATGCCCGTGAGTACTGAGAGGGTGGGTGGTGGGTGGGCATGATGCGTGGTCACTGGTGACTGGGTACAGCTAGGTAGGCTGAGGTTCAGAATTCAATCATGGTGTTGCCTTACTGAGTGCTGATAGGTAGAACATTCTAGTAGGTCTTCAGAGACATAATTTTGGCAGGTGCTGAAGTCTATTTTGAGTGTCCCTGTTTTTGATCAGAGTGTTGAAGCCCAGCTGTTCTGGATTTGCCTTTGGGTCGTGGTGAGTAGCTTGGACTAGCCCATGGCTTGTGGCAGAAGGGGGTCAGCGTAGCGTGGTGTACACCCTGACCTTCCCTCACAGCAGCCCTAAAAGGCAGTATTTAGTGCTGTCTGTCCTGAGTGACAGGAATGAAGCCAGGTCCAGGGAGGTGAAATATTTGCCTGAAGTCACAAGGTTACATCCAGTAACATGCATAAATCCCCGGAATGCAGCTGGATGATTCTCTCCACACAGGTTACCACTGCCCAGTTCGTCATGGTACAGAATATGCCAGTGTCTTAGGAGACTCTTCTCTTTCCGTCTGTCCCCCTTCTCAGCCTGAGGTAGTCATTGTTCCAGTCTCTGTCATCACTGATCCCTTTTGCTTGAAGTGCAACGTGAGTGACATCCCATGTGTGAGTCTGGAGTGTCTGGCTTCTTCCTGTCATATCTGTGGGATCCAGTCACTGTGCTRTGTGGTCAATACTTCATTCCATGCSGGTGGTGGCAACTCCTATTCTGAACAGCTTAGGGTTTATCTAACCTCCTGTTGGTGGTTTATTGTCAGTTAGGGCTTTGCCTCCAGGGATATTTCATGTCCCCCACCCCTACCTCCAGGCACTCTACCACAGAGCTATTTCTCTAGCCCATTTTATACTTTATTTTGAGACAGGGTCTCACTAAGTGTCCCAGATTGGCCTTGAATTTAGGATCCTCTGCCTCAGCCTTGTGGGATTACAGTGTGCACAACCTCACCTGGCATGTGCTTCCTCTTCTGTGACTGCCTAAGGGACCCCTGTGTGGCATTGAGCTAGTAACAACAGTAGGGTTAGGTCATCCACTGCTTGCTGTCTGCCAGGTGCTTGCATGATTTAATTTAATCTTTCCAACTCGGGTGAAGCAGGTGCTATGGTTTTCCTATTTTACTGTTGAACAAAGTAAGTTACAGACTTGGAAATGATTGTCCCCAAATCGCACAGCTGGTGTAAGGTGGAAATGGAAATGAAATGGGTTGCTGTCCAGGCCACCCTGCTCTGCCTGGACCGCTCTCTAGCCCTGGCAGCGGAGATAAGATAACACCTGAGCTTCCCGGAGGCCACGCTATGTTCTCAGCTCAGTGTCTRTGTGAGAGGATTTCAAGCAAGACCCAAGACTTGATCAAAGTATAGTGCAGTTTATTAAAAGAGGAAGAGGATGGGGAAAATCAYCCAGGGAGAGGGTAGGTGCACTCAGAGGAGAGTGACAGCTCACTTCCTGGTGTCCCAACTTTTATTGGGGAAGGAGGGAGTTTGTTAGATCCTGCCCAGGTGTCACCTCTGGGCTTGGGGTTGACTACAACCGAGGGCATCTCTTGGTGGTCTTGGCCTGGCTGACAGGTCCTAATTGGAACTGGTTTTGCAGAGTTTATGGTGCGTGGGCTCCATCTCCAGCACCAGGCTTTCCCAGGTCTGGGAATCACTGCTCTGTGCTGCGCAGGGTGGTGTTCAGAAGTCTAGGCGGTGTGCCCTTCTGAGCAAACATACCTTTGTCCTCCCTTGACTATATATATATATATCTCTTTCTCTTGCTGTTAGAGGAATAGATTATAGGGCTGAGGTCAAACCAGGCGTCCTGAGATAGCTACCTTTTCAGACCTTAGGTGCCACCAAAGCAGGGCTGTGGATTGACCAGTTTGTTCTGTGCTGAGTACTCAACTCCTGCAGCTTCATGTGGGCCGCTGTGTGTCATTTGTCCCACCCCTCCCGGCACACATCTCTCTCTGACAGGAGACGTTGTTGTGGGGCATTGCTCAGAAAACACGTGAAGTCCCAGTTTTGTCCAAATTGAAGAGTCTTTATTTAGCTGCCTGGCCATGACTGCTCCCCCACAAGACCCAGAAGTGTCTCTGCAAGGAACAGTCCCGAGCCTGAGCATTTTAGGATAGTTAAAGGCAAAAACCACATCCGGTTGCCGTAGCTGCAAGCAAGCAGGTACAGAAGCTGAGCTGGGCAGTTAGCGAGACGATGCAACAGGTACATTGGTATTTCCCACAGGACTTTCCAGGTTGGCATGGCAGCAAGCCAGCAGAAGGGAAGGGGGTCAAAATGATCAGTTCATGTTAGAGAATGGTTACTAACTTCTAGACAGTCAATCTTGACAAGGTACGTTGCCCAAGAAAAATGGAAACCAGGGGCTGGGGATGTGGCTCAAGCCGTAGCGTGTTCGCCTGGCATGCGTGCGGCCCGGGTTCGATCCTCAGCACCACATACAAACAAAGATGTTGTGTCTGCCGATAACTAAAAAAATAAATATTAAAAAATTCTCTCTCTCTCACTCTCTCTTAAAAAAATGGAAACCAAAGAGAACAATTTTACATTGTATAAGAATTGCTATTTTGTGTTGCCAAGTATGCTCTGCTAGGTGACTATTAGTGGGAACAGAGGCGGGCTTTCCCATGGGAGAAGCCTTTTGTACATGATAAGGAGTCTCAGGGTAAAATGGAGTCTGGCCCATAACAACGTATATCTTCAAAAGAAATCGTGGTTATCCCTCTGATAGATGCTRCCAGCTTGGCTTTCAAAAATGTGTTTTGTAATCTCTTGAAGTGAGGGTAGAGGTGCTCCTTCCTCCGCGTCCTTGCCAACAGTGACCGCCCTTTTTGATGCCCTACACGTTTTCCTGTGAGCCGTGTGAGACGTGCTGTCTGTCCTGATGACTGTGACTTCAGACAGCCTGCTAAAGCAGAGCAGCCAACAACATGAGGAAGTGAGGTGCTGGAATTGTTCTTATGCATTATTGCCCGGTAGGGAAGAGGCAGGCAAAACACAAAGTTTCCATGTTGCTGTCTGGTTCTGAGAAGTGTCCGTTTGAGTCATTTCGGACCAACGGTCTGGACTTGAAGTGTGCTGTCCTAAGGGTAGATGGATGATACTAGTGATAATAGGATCACCTTAAATATGAATATCACTTTACTGTGCATGCTGTTTTTTTCTAGGTGGTCTAAACTGTGCCATGGCCATATGCGGTGGTGCACACACCTGTAATCCCACAACTCAGAGGCTGAGGCAGGAGGATCATAAGTTGGAGGCCAGTCTGGGCAACTTAGTGAGATCTTGTGTCAAGATAAAATAAAAAGGAACACATGTTATATGCAAGGATATGAAAAATTGTGCTCTATATGTGTAATAAGAATTGTAATGAAAAAAAAAGATAAAATAAAAAGGGCTGGGATGTAACTCAGTGGTAGAACACTAGGTTTCCATCCCCAGTACCAAAAAAACAAAAGCCCCAAAACACTAAAAAAACCTCAAGAAGTAAACAAACAAATGATGCTGGGTAGTGGCGGGCAGGGAAAGCCCCTCTGTTATCATCTCCAGTTTGTAGGGGAAGAAGCGGGCCTCTGAGAGCAGGTCACATGAGGGTTCCGGTGCAGCAATGGGCTCTGGGCATGAGGTCATGGGCACTATCCAGGGTTTTCTTAGGTGGATTTCATTCTGCAATCGAGGGTAGGAACATCTGGGCTACGGCAGCAGGGCCACCGGCTGGACTTCACAGGGCCTTTGCTGAGTCGGCCCAGGAAGGGTGCTACAAGAAGGTCAGTGTGTCTGAGCAAAGAGCAATTTTTATTTTGTCCCCCTCCCCAGGGATGTATGGCAGTGCCTAGAGGTACATCTGGTCGTTACAGCTGAAGGTGAGTGGGTGCTGCTGGCATCTGGTGGGTACAGGCTGTGGATGTGGCTGTATATCCCATGACACATGGGACAGCCATACAAAATAGAGTAACCCAGCCCCAAATGTCAGGGTGCTGGTTAGTACCCCTGCTGCTCTGGAGCAGGAGTGTAAATAAAAACAAAAATGGGTACACTCAGTGTTACTGAGCTGTCGATTATGGCAGGACTGATGTGCCCATCAACTGGGAACTCACCACAACCCTGATGCTGGCAGCTGCTTCTCTCATCCTGGGATACAGAAGGGAGAACAGAGGCTCAGAGACTCTGAGCAACTTGCCCAGGGTCATGCAGCAGATAAGTGGCAGGGCTAGGATTTGAACCTTGGCTCCAAGATCTCACTCACTCCATCTACTGCCTCAAAGAACAAATGGCTCATCTTCTTTCTTGTCTCCGTTTGTGTGCCACCAGAGCACGTGGCTTTGTCTCTGTACACTGGGGGGAAATGCGTTTGCTTCAGAATGGAATGAGCTTTTAAAACGGGATGGCTCGGTGGCGGGTGCTGGGGTTGTGGCTCAGCAGTAGAGTACTTGCCGTGCATGCACGAGACCCTGGATTCGATCCTCAGCACCACATAAAAATAAATAAGTGGGGCTGGGGATGTGGCTCAAGCGGTAGCGCGCTTGCCTGGCATGCGTGCGGCCCGGGTTCGATTCTCAGCACCACATACAAAGATGTTGTGTCCGCCAATAACTAAAAAAATAAATATTATAATTCTCTCTCTCTCTTTCTCTCTCTCCCTCTCTCACTCTCTCTTTAAAAAAAAAAGTGAAATAAAAGTATTATGTCCAACTACAACTAAAAAATAAATGTTAAAAAAAAAAATGTGATGGCTCGTGTGTGGCTGCTTGTCCTGGTCAGGGCCTCCTGCAGCAGGGAGCTGGGAGAGCTGTTGGTGGCTGTATCAGGCAGGTTCTTCTGAGAAACAGGACCAACAGTCTCTGTGTACATACGCATCTAGAAAGAAACTTATCATAAGGAATTGGCTCGTGTGATTATGGAGGCCGAGAAGTCCACGACCTGCTGTCCCCAGGCTGCAGACCCAGCTCTGCAATCCTGGTTCATGTAACTCTGGTTCGAGTCCAAAGGCCTGAGAACCAGGTGCACTCAAGTRTCAGTCCCAGTCTGAAGACGGAAGCGTGACGTCCCAGCTCCAGCAGTCAGGCAGAGAGAGCGAATTATTTCCCTTCCTCCGCTTTTTTGTTCTTCTCAGGCCCCTGGCGAGTGGGGGAGGCCTGCCATGCTGGGCGGGGCCCCTGCTCTGCCCAGTCCACTGAGCCAACCATCTCCTCCAGAAGCTCATCACAGACACACCCACAGGTAATGGCTAACCAGGTACCTGGGCACCTTGTTGCCCAGTCAAGTTGACACAAAAATTAATCACCACCATGACTTTCTCTGCCCATGCCCTACCTGGGTTGGAATTTTCTTGAAAGTAGAAGTTGGCTGTTCACGCTACCTGGCCCCTCACCTGGCTGGTGGCTGTTCTCTCCTCTTATGGCCACTCAGGCTCTCTAGCCTCTGATTCCCTCTGGCTCAAAGGGACAAATGACAGCACTTCCTTGTTGGAAGCACAGCTCCGGGTGAGTGAGGCAGCCCTGGGAAAGGACTTCACCCAGGGCCTCACACTGCCTGAGCCTGGATCCAGTCGGTCAGCTCGCTGCCTCTGATTTCTGAATTGCCAGGGCTGCTGAGGGGCTAGTTCTGCACCTCCCCTTCCTTCCCTGGGTAGCAGAGAGGAGCAGTCACATGCCGGGTTTCTGTTCTCGCGACTAAAAGGCTCAGGGGTCATTCTAGTTAAACTGGGCTAACTGGGCTGCACGAAATAACCACACAAGAGACACAAATACCTTTTTCTTTGGGGTCGCTGTGACGGCTCCTCTGACCTTAAGGGTCTGCAGGAAGAGAGCGAGAGCACGCRCTGACCCCTTTTATTGAGGAGAAGCTATTCAAATGAGGCAAGGGGTCAGGTTTCAGGGGGCTGAGTCTRTCTTCATGATGTCCACTGTCAGCAGGTTGACTGACACCTGGGTAGGCCACACCCAAGGGCACAGTAAGAGAAGGGGACACACACAAGGCACTTCCATGGAAGATTCTCTCCTAAACAGGGCAAGGGGTTATATTACAAAGGAACAGGTGAGCATAGCTTCACCCATGGGGCTGTAGCAAGACACACCCATTTCTGTGACTGAGCGCCTCAGCACCCAGCTGGGGAGTGTAACTCAGTCACCCGTAAGGTTGGCCTCCCACAGTCACAGCTCAAGTGTTAAGTTGGAAATGGTAGCTGGGTGCCATGGTGCACACCTGTAATCCCAGCTGCTCGAGAGTCGGAAGCAGGAGGATCGTGAGTTTGAGGCCACTGGGCAACTTAGCGAGACCCTGTCTCCAAGTAAAAAAGGAAAAATCTGGAGTGTGGCTCAGTGGTAGAGAATCCCCTGAGTTCAGTCCTCAGTACTGAAAAGAGAAAGGAAGGGAGGGAGGGAGGGAGGGAGAGAAAGGAAGAAGAGAAGGAAAAGAAGAGAGGGAAGGGAAGCCGCTGACCGGCCTGGACACTCCCCTTTTTACTGGAGACATGGGCGTGTGCCAGTGACTCGGGCCATCAGACTGGTTCTTTTGTACATACACTTTACACTTAGCCATGGGAGTGCGTTCTCCCCACGTCCACGGAACAAGTTGAGAGAAGCTGCTCTTGTGCACAGGTCTCTGTCCCTGTTGCTGCTGGCCCCGCCCACTTTCCCCTGGTGTGTGAGTGGAATTGCTCCTTCCAGCGCCTGCAGCCTGTGAGCCCCATTCGGAACCAGTGAACTCTTTGGTAGTGGTTAATGGTTATATTTTTGGGGGTGAGTAGAAATTTGGGAATGAGCAAACATTCTCGGAATGAAGCCTGCAGACTAACAGGAGTCCTTGGGCTAGATCAGGCCATTTCTAATTTATAAAGTGCATAGGGACTGCTGTTTAAAAGGGCAAGGGTGTAGTTCCCATCAGGGACCTGGTGGGAGCCCTGAGCCATAAGTGGCACCTTGGCCAGAAAACAGCAGGGCACCGCTGTCACCCCAGGCAGCACTGTGGCCTCCTTGCTTCAAAAGGAAAGAATGTCTCAGAGCTTTACAGGCTGGCGGCCACTTGAATTCTTGCTAATTGAAATTACAGAGTCATCTTCGCTCATTGATTCTCCTTCCGCAAATATTTCTGGAGGACCCACTGTGCCAGGCCACGGATCCCACAGGCCGTGGGCATCTGCTGCCTGGAACGTCTCTGACCCTTTCTGTTTTGGGATTCACGTAAGTGGAGCCCGGTCGGTCTACAGTCCTCAGCGTCTGGCGTTCTGACGCAGCGCCTGTTTTAAGGCCGCCTGTGGCACCGCGTGTGTGGTAGCCCGTTCTGTGGTGGGCTGTGTGGCTGCTTGTCAGTTTGTGTGTCCGTCAGCCTGTTGTTGGGTTGGTAGCTTCGCTCAGGGGCTTTATGAGGAGGCCTCTTGGAGATGTGGCCAGAGGCCCAGGGTCTGTGTGTGTTCGACTTTGTTAGAAACTTCCACTCAGTTCTCCACGGTGGCTGTGCCACTTGATCCCATCACCAGCAGAGCGCGGGGTCCCGGGTCCCGGCGTGGTCCCGAGTCCCGGCGTGGTCCCTTGGCCTTTCCCTGGGGCCCCAACACTCACGTTTCTCTTTCTGTCTGTCTCTCCAGATGCTCAGGAGCTGTCCAGGGGAAACGCAGATTTGGTGAGTCTCCATGAGACTAGGGGCCTGTCCCTCTCATCAGCCTCGCCCCTTCCCTGCAGCCGTCAGGAATCCTGGGGACCCAGCCCAGTTGGGGAACGAGGTTCTGGCCCGCCGTCCATGGCTCTGACCTGGGCTTGGTGCTCACTGAAGCCATCGAGCGGGCCTGCTTCACCCCAGTGGTAGAATCAGGTCCCACCTAAYGGGACGTCGTCAGCACCGGCCGTGGTGCTGTTCCATGCCAGGACACTCGAGCTCTTGTCCCCACCTGTGTATTGTTGGGTGGCTCCTGGGCACTGCCCTGGGATGGAGGCCACAGGGAGCCCTCAGTCTGGCAGGGGAGGGAAGCTCGGCAAGGGAAGGTGCAAATAAAGGGCAGCAAGTCCCAGAGCAGGAAGAGGCAGCTGTGGGAGGGTCGCGGGGGCTGGGCCGCGGGGGCTGGGCCGGGGGAGGTGGCCTCTGCCTCCGGGGCCAGACCTGGGCAAAGTCTGCGGACACAGCTGCCTCATGCCCRCCAGGTGCACCTGGGTAAGAGCCACCGACTGGTGTGTGGCACCAGTGGGTCACAGGCTTTCTAAGCCAGCTGCCCCGTCCCTGAGCACAGAGTCGGGAGCCTGCGTCTCTCKGTAGAGGGGCAGCCAGTGCCCGCCCTGCGGCTCCCTGGGTCCCTCTGTGTCCTGGAGTCCCAGGTGGGGCMTGCAGTGGAAGGGATCCCCATGCTTCTCCCAGCTCTCAGCTGTCAGCCCCTGAGTGAGAAGCAGGGTCACCTCCTCCAGGAAGTGGGACAGCCCCAATCACATTGGTCCTGTCCCCTGTCCCTGGGGCAGGCATATGTCCTGCGCGCGGACCCCTGYGGCCACTGCCTCATCATCAACAATGTGAGCTTCTCCCGTGCTTCGGGGCTCAGCACGCGCCTGGGCTCCAACGTGGACTGTGAGAAGATGCAGYGCCGCTTCCGCTCGCTGCATTTCACCGTGGAGGTGACGTGCAACCTGACTGCCAAGGTACCTGTCACCGCATGTGGGGGAGCCGAGGCAAGTGGGCAGCGCCTTGTAGGGGACCCTGGGAGCAAGCTGGGGACTTCCCAGATGAGCACTGCCCCTGTAGGACCATGGGGTGTGGCCCAGGGTGACACTCAGGAGGGCATGAGGCCTGCTGCCTGCATGTGACACGTGCCTCAGTGTCCCTGTCTAGAAGGCCAGAAGAGTCCCCTGGGGGGCTGCTGTGGGATTACAAGAARGTGCCTGAGCTCAGACCTTTTCCCCTGAGCATGGGGCTGTCGTGACGATTACCTCAGAATTGGCCCTTGGAGGCAGGGCGAATGCTGGGCCCTGCCCTCTGCGGCAGGCGGGTGGCCTGATGGCCAGTGCTCTGGCTCACCTGCAGCCTTCCCTTGTAGAAGATGGTCCAGGCTTTGGTAGAGCTGGCGCAGCGGGACCACCGTGCCCTGGACTGCTGTGCGGTGGTCATCCTCTCCCACGGCTGTCAGGTAGGAGGCTCTCCCCGACCCTGCTCCCCGTCAGGCACAGGCGAAGCTGGGCGAGAGGCCCTGCAGRACTCCTGTCCCTCATGTCCACCACACCCTCGGCTTTGTGAAGAACCGTGCAGCCCTGTCCACCTGTTGCCGTTCTCCCAGGGGGCCCTGGGTAGGCAGCCTCCTGAGAGAAGCCCGCAGGACACGAGGGAGGGGCGAGCTGTACTCTCGAAGCTTCCACCCGGTTCTGTGTGAAGCTGTGTGCGGCCCTCAAATCCTCAGGCCCCGCAGGGTGTTCAGGCCCTTGCTCTGGGGGACTCAGGCACCGGGACATGCTCAGGGCTTGGCCAGTGATGTGCTGACTCACCGTGGCCAAGCCCCTGCCCCTGCCCGGGCCTTGGAGTCCTCATCTTTTATTCTGGGGGTTGGACAGCCCAACAGTCACCCCTGTGGCCTTCAGCGTGTTTTCAGAGCACATAAAAATCAGGATTTCCCCTTCTTGGAAACCATCRTGGTCTGGCCCACCAGCCTGCCATCCTCCCAGAGCGGAACTCTGGCCTGTCGCCAGCAGGCGCTACCTTTTGGGGCTTTCACTCAGTGTGGCAGCAGGGGTGTCCCCTGAGCCCTCATGAGAAGTCTCAGGCCCCATGTGGACCTGTGTCCAGAGCTTTGACAGGTGGCCATGTGGTCCTGTGCACGGGAAGAGCCCTGGAGCAGCAGCTCTGACTGCTCAGCGCCTTGGGAGGATGCCCAGGCGGGGCCGGGGATCCTCATTTCCTGAATGTTCTGAGTGATGCGGATGCTGCTGGTCCAGGGATCACACTTGGGGGGGCTTCTGGTCTAGCGGCATCTGGCCAGCACTCTTGATAGCTGGCCTGACCAGGGACAGATGCTGCTCAGGGTCCTTCCAGGATCAACCTGCTCTGTCAGTCAGTCCAGAGCCCCAGGGGGAACTTCTGAGTGTGTGGCCCCCACAAAGCCTCTGGAAAGGCCACTGGATTTCTGCCTCTGTGTCTTGGTTTTAACCAGGGTCCTTGTCTTCTAGGCCAGCCACCTCCAGTTTCCGGGTGCTGTCTACGGCACAGATGGATGTTCTGTGTCCGTTGAGAAGATTGTGAACATCTTCAACGGGACCAGCTGCCCCAGCCTGGGGGGGAAGCCCAAGCTCTTTTTCATCCAGGCCTGTGGTGGGGGTAAGCAGCCCTGATGGGGAAGGAGCCTCTGTCCCTCCCGTCCCCAGCAGCACCTCCCGTGTCCACAGGGCCGCTCCAGGCAGTTAGAGGTACCAGGCACGGTCCTTGCTGCAGGGTGGCCGTGCTTCAGCTGTCCAGAGGAGGCCCAGGCTTGTCCGCTCTGAACAGGGTGGTCTTCATGTTACACTGCAGTAGCGTCACAGGCTCCTGTGACTTTGGCAACTTCAGRATTTTGGTAAAAACAAAGCAGTGGAGAGAGTGGAAAACTGTCTTTCTGTTTTCCTGGTCGTCTTGCCTCTGACCTTCGTTTCCACTGTGGGGGGGAGAGAGGCCACAGCTGAACGACAGGGAGAAACTGAAGAATCTAGCCATTGGGATTCCCCAGAATCCGGGTCTTGGTGATTTAAGAAACCTAAAGGATGATTTRTAGTTTTGCTTTATGCTGTGTCACTCCATTTTCTGTTACGTAATCAAATACCACACACTGGGTGATTYACAGAGGACAGAGGTTTGTGTAGCTCAAGGTTCAGGAGGTGAGGAAGGGCAGGCTGTGGTGCATGGGAGGGTCTTGGTGCATGTCAGCCTGGCGAGAGGGTCACAGAGAGAGACAGAACAAGCTTGGGTCCCTCTCCACTTCCTGATTTTTARAGAYTGGATCTCGCTAGATTGGTCTTGAACTTACATGTTCAAGTGATCCTTCTGCCTGTGCCTCCCAGTAGTTGGGACTACAGGTRTATGCTGCTGCTCCGACTCCTCCCTCCCTCCCTCCCTCTCTCTCTCCCTTTCTTTCTTCTATCTTTCATATCCGGGATTAAGTCCAGGGGTGATCTACTACTAAGCTACGTCCCTAAAATTTATTTTGAGACAGATTCTCACTAATTTCCCATACTGGCCTCCAACTTGTGATCCTCCTGCCTCAGCCTCCCAGGTACCTAGAATTATAGGCATGTGCCACTGCACCTAGCTTATTTCCTGGTTTTCATATAGAAAAGAAGCTGGGTGTGATGKCAGCACCTRTAGTCCCTGCTACWTAGGAGGAAGGCTAAGGCAGGAGGATCATTTGAGGCCCAGAATTTTGAAACCAGCCTGGGCAATATAGTGAGGCCCATCTCAAAAATCAAAACAAAGAGACCAAAAAAAAAAAAAAATTAAAAAGACAAAAGAGAAGTGCTGCTTTCCTGGCTTGGTTATGGTGGTGATAGTGGGGAACGCCAGAAGTTCTGTCCCAGGTGTCCCTTCTGCCTGGACTCTCCAGGGGTTGAGACAGTTGAAAGGCCTGTCGTTTCCTTGTCCCTTTGCCGGACCTGTTAGAGAAGTGGGCACTATCATCCCACACAGCTGCCCAGCCCACCCAAGGGGACTCTACAGCATGGAAGCCGCCAGGAAAACAAAGCAGAATTCACCCGAGCAGCAGCAGCAGCAGCAGCCGCCATGAAAACAAAGCAGAATTCACCCGAGCAGCAGCAGCAGCAGCAGCAGCAGCAGCAGCAGCAGCGGGACAGGCCCCTGGGGAGTTTCTTTTCTGCTGCTGCAGCAGCAGCAGCAGCAGCAGCAGCAGCAGCAGCAGCAGCAGCAGCAGCAGCAGCAGCAGCAGCAGCAGCGGGACAGGCCCCTGGGGAGTTTCTTTTCTGCTGCTGCAGCAGCAGCAGCAGCAGCAGCAGCGGGACAGGCCCCTGGGGAGTTTCTTTTCTGCTGCTGCTGCAGCAGCAGCAGCAGCAGCAGCAGCAGCAGCAGCAGCAGCAGCAGCAGCGGGACAGGCCCCTGGGGAGTTTCTTTTCTGCTGCTTTCCCCATCCGCTCTGCTGCCTGGTGTTCAGTGCTGTTGCCACACGGTGGCGCCACATCAGCCGAGAACAGAAATGCAGAACTGTGCCCATTCCTTGCAGGGTGTCCTGTTTATGTGCGTCAGAAACTCTGCCCTGCATTTTGGTGACTATGCTATTTTAGAACTCAGTTATAATTTAAGATAATTTTAAAATGCCACAATGTTATCCACCCCTTCATTGAGAGGTGGCATGGCTCCAGGGCTGAACAGCAGGCCTTGAAGTTAGTAACTTGGTGTGGAGTCAGTGTGACACAGTATGACACGTGTGGTCCACGTGATGGAAGCCAGGTGGCTGCCTTGATGCGGCCCCGCTGTCAGTTTTGGGGTGACCCCCTCTTGAGTTCAGACACCAAGCCGAGAAGGCAGACAGCAGGCACATGTGCCACCTAGYTGTGGTTGTGGGTTGTGTGTGGAGGGAGCCCTCCTCCTGCTGTGTGTTTATTCTGTGGGGATTAGTCTTGCTCTATAAGGAGTTTTGAGTTAATGAGGCTAAGAACCAAGCTGTGCCTACAGTGCATAACCCTGAAGGCCASGCCTTTGCATCAGATTTGCAGTGTGAAGACAACACATGTGTGGAGATGCAGCTGGCATTTCTGTATGACTCAGCCTCTCCCCTTTCCCGCACACCCCTGTCTTTGAGCCCACTTTGTCCTTTCATTTTCACACAGTCTCTGCTCATCCCTGTCTCCTTTGGTCCTCCTTATGGTCTCTCCCACATATTAGTCAGTTTTCTGGTACTATAATAGAATACCTGAGGTTAGATATTTTATAAAGAAAAATGGTTTACTTGGCTCATGGTTCTAGATTTTACCCTGTGTTTTCTTCTAAGAGTTTTATACTTTTAGGTCTTAAAATTAGGTCTTGATCCAATTTGAGTTAATTTTTTGTATATGGTATTAAGGAAGGGTCCAACTTGGGTAGTATTTCTATTTATTTATGTTGTTTTTAATTTCTTTTAGTTAAAATTTTTTCAGTTGTTAATGGTCCTTTATTTTTATTTATTTATATGTAGTGGTGAGAATTAACCCAGTACTTCATGCATTCGAGGCAAGCGTTCACCACTGAGCTATAGCCCCAGCCCTGTTTTTAATTTATTTCAGTAGTGTTTTGTAGTTTTCATTGRTTAATTCCTAACTTTTTGTTTTGATGCTAGAATTGGTTTCATAATTTTCTTCCCTGATTGTTCAYTATTCGGTATATAGTTCACTGCACGTGTGTGTGTGTTGACTTGTACCCTGCTCCTTTGCTGATTTCATCTTTATCTGTCCTAACAGTTTTCTTGGTGTAATCTTCAGGGTTTTCTACTTAATTAGATCAAGCCTTCTGTGAACAGAGGAAGTTTCTACACAGGACGCCTTTTCCTTTTCTTGCCTAATTACTCTGGTTAGAGTTTCTAGTACCATGTTGCATAGCAATGAGGAAAAGCTTTCAGTCTTCACCATTGAGTACGATGTTCACTGTGGGTTTTTCACATGTGGCTTTTTTGTTTTTAGACCTTTTTAATTGGTATATTACTTGTGCATAATGGTGGGGTTTGTTATTATATATTYGTGTGCACAAAATACAATGTAATTTGGCTGATGTCACTCCCCCGCTTCCATCTTCTCACCCTCTGGGTCCCTTTCCTTTATTCTGCTGATCTCACATGGCTTTTATCATATTCAGGTAGTTTCCRTCTGTCCTTAGTTTGTTGTGTTTTTATCATGAAAGGTTGTTTGTTTTATCAAATGTTTTTTTCTGTGTCATGGGAGAGGGTCATRTAGTTTCTCTCCATTCTGTTGGTGTGCTGGGTTACACGGATTGGTTTTCAGTGCTGAGCCATCCTTGCATTCCAGGAGTAACTCCCCCTTGGCCATGGTGTGTGATCTGTTTAYTGTGCTGCTGAATTTGACTTGCTAGTTATTTTATTGGGGACTTTTGCAGCAATGTGCATAAGGACTATTAGTCTGCAGTTATATCATCAYATCTTAGCACCTGGCTTTAATATCAGGGGAATGCTGGCCTTGGAGAATGAGTTAGAGAGTATTTCCTCTTAATTTCTTGGAAAAGTTTGAGGATTGGTGTTAATTTCCCTTTAAACGTTCATTATAATTCACCAGCGAAGCCTTCAGGGCCAGGGCTTTTCTTCTGTGTGTCTTGGTGATGAGTGCTTGTTTCTGCTTCCTGCAGAGCAGAAAGACCATGGGTTTATGGTGGCCCACGCTTCTCCTGGAGACAGGGCCTCTGGCAGCAACCCTGAGCCAGACGCTGTCCCCTTCCAGGAAGGCCCGAGGACCTCTGACGAGCTGGATGCAGTGTCGAGTTTGCCCACACCCAGTGACATCCTTGTGTCCTATTCGACCTTCCCAGGTGAGCGCATCCCTGGGGGTCTTCCCATCTGCCTCACAGGCAGCCATGCTGTGAGGTCCTGGTTCTGAACCTTGCTGCTTCTGTGACCCCAAGCAAGTTACTTCACTTCTCTGAGCCTCAGCTCAGGGCGAAGTAGGTGAGATGCCTGAGGTGCACAGCCACTGAGTTGGGGTGCTTCTGCCTCACCCTCCCCCAGCTCTGCCTCAGCCTCCTCCACTTTAAAATGGGAATAGTAATCCTACATTGGGGTTCTTGGTGATCATCCAAGGAGCTGGCGCATCATGGAGCACAGTGCCTGTCACACAGGAGGAAGGAAGGGCTGAGACGTGTCCTTCTCTCCCCCGTGTTATTGGGCTCTCAGAGCCTCGGTTTCCTTGCTGGGAAAACAGTCGCAGCCAGGCTCRGGAGGTGATCACGAGGTTGAAGTAAGGTCACCGGTGTACAGGGCCACGGGGACGTGGCTCCTTCCTCTACAAGCAGATGGGCCCCAGTCCGGAGGTGGCCCCCCGCAGCTCCCCAGTGGAGCTCAGTCTCCTCTTCCCACAGGTTTTGTCTCCTGGAGGGACACCTCGAGCGGCTCCTGGTACATCGAGACCCTGGACAGCGTCCTCGAGTGCTGGGCTCACTCTGAAGACCTGCTGTCCCTGCTGCTCAGGGTGGGTGCCATTTCACTTTGGAGGGCAGCATGTCCTCCTCAGGGCATGGGYGGGCGCAGCACACCAAGCCCACACCAAAGGCAAGGGACAGGCGGCCTTGTGTGCCTCGGAGCCTTGGGCTTTGATTCTCTCTGCCTGCAAGGGCCACGCCCCCTCGCTCCGTCAGAGCCCCAGGCCGAGAGTCCCCGTTGACATAGCTGCCCTTGTTGCCACAGTGGATGGCTCAGTGGAGGCTGGTGGTGGGCCCCCTGTCCCCTCCCCCCATGGCATAGTTTTTACTCTTGACCCTGGATGCCCCTGCTGTGCATCCAGGGCYCCAGGGAGTGACAGACAGGGAAGGGCAGGGCGGCCTGACAGGCTCGGCTGCTCCTTGGAAACCCCATCTGGAGCAGCTGCTTCTTCCAAGGGTCCCAGAGTATGTGGCTGCCTCTGGGCCCTCCTGCTCCGCCCTGGTGTTCTGCACCATGAGAAGGGGCTCTAAGGGGTCGTGCTTGCTTCTGAGGGAGGTTGTGGCCTGAGCATGGCCGAGCAGAGCCAAGGCCGAAAGCAGCCACCTCCCACAGTGCCGGGAGTAGGCGCCACAGCCCTGAGTAGGTGACCCCCAGAGGCCACCAGGACTCCTGGTCTAGTCTCTTCTCTCGACCTTTCTTCATGTGAAGCTTTTGTTCTGATTTGAACTTTGTGAAGTTTTGGGTTTTGAAATTTTGTGTTTTGTGCTCTTTAAACTTGTAGTAGTGCTGGGTGTGGTGGCCACACCTGTAATCCCAGTGACTAGGGAGGCTGAGGTGGCAGAATGGCTAGCTCGAGGCCAGCTTCAGCAACTTAGACCCTGTTGCAAAAAAAAAAAAAAAAAAGTAATAACGTAGAGAGGCGGTAAGTCCCAGCTCTGCACACCACACACCCCGGGCCCATTTGGTGCTGGCCCCCCAGCCTGGCTTGCTTCAGCTGGGAACTGAACTCTGACTCCCTGTGCTCTCCTTCTTGCAGGTGGCTAACGCTGTTTCAGAGAGAGGAATTTACAAACAGATTCCTGGTTGTTTTAATTTCCTCCGGAAAAAACTTTTCTTTAAAACTTAAAGGGGCCGGGATGCTCMCCCTGCCTCATCGTCATCCCAAGCCCTTCTGCTGCGGTCCTGGAGGCGGAGAGGCTTGGCCTCCTACAAGTTGAGGGTTCCGTGGCCTGTGCAGGGCCTGCTCCTTCCCAACCCCAGAGGGCAGCTTCTGGTCTGGAGGCAGATGCCAACTGTGTGGAAAGGAGCAGAAAGTCATGGATCCACAGGACCTCTTCATCAGTGGCCAGTCCTGGATCTGTGACCCCATGTTCTCCCTGGAGCAGYGCCAAACGGCCCTTTGCTGTGGGCCTTCCCTGCCCTGTTCCTGGCTCTCTCCCTCCAGATACAGGAGCATCCCTCCCCAGTCCTGAGTCATGCCARCCAAAAATATCTTCAGACATTGCCAAATGTGCCCTGGGGGACAGAACCGCCCACGCTTGAGAATCATCCATCTGCAGGGATTTGGGGCTACAAACCAGCCGGCATTTCTCTTAAATCAACAAGCTCAGGCTCTGGACTCTGGCAGCAGGGGCCTGGGAGTTCTGAATTTCAGAAATTTATTGCATTATCTAGTCTTCACAAACAGCTCTCAGGTGAACATGGGCCCTCTGGCCTGTCTCCCCGTTTTGCTCGGGTGCTTTGTACTTCCTCATAATGGAGACTGCCTGTTTGAGAAAGTGGTCTTATTCCTCTTGATCCCCCTCCATCCCAGGGGAGGGGTGAGACCACAAGCRTAGAGGGCAAGTCTCTTGTCCAGGGGAACACGGTTACCAGATCTGGCCAGATCCAGGTCTTCCAGGTTCTGACCCCTGCTTCCCRTGTGCCTTCCTTGCTGAGGGACCCCATTCAGGTTCAGATGACCGTGCTGTGCCCTGGACAATGCTAGGCTTGCCCAAGCCTGCCCTGGCCCTGGGCCCTGCTGTCCTTRTTTGCAGGACCATGAGGTTTGGATGGTCTGCTAATAAGTCACACCAAGATGTGAATCGTGGTGATTGCCACTTTATTAGTATTTTGCTTCTGCCATCTTCCCAGTTCTGATGTCCAGAGGCTTCCTTGGTTAGTTATTTGCAATGACCTGCAGGACACACACAAGAAAATAAGCCAGTGGCCCATGCCGCAGTGTCTCCACCTGAGGAATTCTGATGACATTTGGGAGAAAGGGGAGACCACAGCTTTTCATTGACTCCTGGGGTCTTACAGTAAATAGGGGTCTCAGCCTGGAGKCCTGTTTGGGCTTTAGATCAGGGGCCTGTCAACCCCTCAAAATCATATGCAGATGCGCGTGGGCTTAGATTTTATTTAGTTTGTTTCTCAAATCCAAAGTGCTGTTTGTGAGGCACCTGCGACCTGCCTTCAGAGACTGTTTCCCAGATTCTATTCAGGCTTTTTTTTTTTTTTGGTGCTGGGTTTGAGCCCAGGGCCTCTCACCTACTAAGCACCTGCTCAACTACTGAGGTGTACCTCCAGCCCCTGAACACTTTACTATGATGATCCAGGACCCACTGAAGCTTCTGGATCTCTGCAGCACAGATCCTCAGGCTGCTGTGCGGGATGTGTGTGCAGGGATGTTCACCGTAGCRACGTAAGGGTGAGAAACAGGAAACAGAAGCCCCTCTCCTCATGGTGGGAGTGGGGAAACCAGTTACCACTCAAAGGAGTGACCTGGGTCAAAATGTGACAGGGGATCAAGTGGAGAACTAAGTGGCAGATCAGGAGTTGGACCCTGTTTTKGGCTAGAAGTCTGGGAGCATCGTTGTACATCTGTAGGTATTTTTTATCTGCACACATAGCCCAGGTCACGAGCCTGCACTGTTAGCAGTGACGATGTCTGCAGAGTAGAGACGGAAAGTGGGGGGACGTCATCTTTTTTACCTGATGCCCTTCTGTATTATTTTAATATTTTTATAAAGAAATATTTTACCTTCTGAAAAAGAAAACAAAGCTAGTGACTGCTGAAGGTTCATGTGTTGCTGTCATCCAGGGGACATCTGTTGAGAGGGTGGGATCCAGGCCACCCATCTCCTCCCTGCACCTGCCTCTCGTGGGCAGCTCCTGACCTTGACCCACCACCTGTCTAGGTTCACCCAGCAGGTACTCCCAAGCACCCCCCGGGTTTAGCTATTTGTGCCTCCTGCTGCTCATGGTGTGTCCCTGGCCTGGGACCCCTGCAAGGTGCTACCAGCCTCTTGCAGCTGCTGGGACAGCCTTTGCCAGGGGACAGCTGACTGTCTACTCTGGAACCCGTGGCTGGGCATTGGTGCCGCCCTGGGTGCTTTGGGGTGGATGCAGCCTCCATCCAGCTGCCACCCAAGGTTGGCTTCCCATTGWTCCCCCTGCCATCTGGCCTGCTCTGCTGTGCTGCTTCTGGGGCTGGGAACAGCTGAGGCTGGGCAACACATCAGGGCAGTTGCCCTGGGCCCTGCTTTGGGTCTAAAGGTGCTGCCAGGCCCAGCTGCACAGACTCACGGGGCAGCTGGGGCTGGAACAGCGTCCTAGGCCTTCCATTCAGTCAGCGAGGCCCTCAGCAGTGCTGGTGGCTCCTTGAAAGTGGCATGCAAGTGTCCTGCCAAATCCAGTCAGGCTCTCCAGTCGACAGACAATACCCCAGCATCAACACAACCTTGAAAATCAACTAACGGTTTTGGAATCTCTGGGGCTTGTGGCCACTTGGCCAAGCAGAGCCCAAAGTCGGACAAATGAACATGGAGCCACCAAGCAGTCTGGGCCAACTCGGAAGCAGCCACCTGCTCATTTGGACAGCATGGTTTTCCTCGTGTGGCCAGGCTCACGCTGCAGTTTCCTATTTTGTTTTGTAACAGAGTGACAATTTAATTCAATTGAACAGTTTCCTGCAGATTAAACTTAAAATGARATCAGATGCCAGCTCCCTCCTTTGCAGGCTCCGCCAGAAGCACCGMAGTCCCCACTTGCTCTGGCTCCTGAGAATGCGGAGGAGCCTTGGTGGAGTTCAAGTCCCACTTTACAGAAGAGCAAACCAACTTGGTGGCAATGCTGGGGTGGCTTAAAACCTGCCTCGTGGCAGTCTCTCTCCCTCCTGGCTTTGGTCCCCAGACAGTGCGCCTCCTCCACTTGCCCCCAGAGTCCCTTTCTTAGGGATGAGTCTTCCTGTCATCCAGYTGCTTCTAATCACTGGTGCCAGTGATGAGGATGATCATTTTTGGGGTATGGGGGATTGAACTCAGGGGTGCTCTACCACTGAGCCACAACCCCAGGCCTATTTTGTATTTTATTCAGAGATAGGTTCTCACTGAGTGAAGACCCCCCTGCTATTGCTGAGGCTGGCTTTGAATTTGTGATCCTCCTGCCTCAGCCTCCTGAGCCATTGGCCAGTGATTATTTTTTWAATTATTTTTAATGATTTTTATGGTTATTGTTGTAAACAAATTTGTTGGTTGTAATAAAAAATAGAAATTGTTGTGGAAGCTCACAGGAACAGCTCTCTGGCGACATGTTCACAGTACAGGAGGACCAACTTGGCCCCATTTGCCCACAAGCATCCCAACCCAGCCCTGAAAACGCTCACCCAAGGAACCCTCAGTCCTAGCAAACCAGGATGGTTGGTCACCCTACAGAATACTCTCCAGGGGGACTAATTTCTAATGATTAAGGTTGGGGGGTATCTCAGACCATTAGGTTTGGGCTTTGCAAATAAATATGGTCATTTATAGCACTGGATGGTGGGGTCTGGGCCCCCACACTGATAAGCAAAAATGAAATACCCCACTAATCCTAAGGAACCCACTCAAAATGCCTGAGGGGTGTCCTGTGTCCAACCTCCTTGGGCAAACTCACCCTCTCTGTTGCTTTTCACCCAATTTGACATGCAGAAATTTTGGATGCGATTATGCAGCTTCCTCTGAGGGCCCCCCCCCCCGACTCCTTTGAGAGACCCTAGGTGGCATTAGAGGGGCCAGGTGAGCAGGGCAGGACCCATGGGGCTCAGGACTGGTCTGGTTCTTACCGTATTGATCCAGTCTATGTAGTTGGAGACCCTGGTGAAGACGGAAGGCTTGCGGTAGTAGTTGCAGCCGAGAGTGGACCCGAAGCTGACCACGCCGTGCACTTGCCACTTGCCATCAGCCGCCTGGCAGTTCAGGGGCCCTCCAGAATCACCCTGAGCAAGAGTCAGATGAAGAGAAGGGAAMGGAAGGGGCTGCCCAGGGGGATCCCTGTTCTCAGGCACTCATGCTGCTCTGTCGTGGGTTGCCACAGCTCTGGGTGCGACGGTAGGACTTATAAGAGCTGATTTGTCCCTGGGTGTCCTGAGCTGAGCTAAGCACTTTATTGGCCTCATCTCCTTCAAAAGCTATGAGGCAAGTGTTGTGAGTACCCAGTTCACCTGAGAGGAAAACCTGGGGTGTTCAGAGGCTACACCTTGCTTGAGGTTGTCCTGGCACAAATGACCCTGCGGAGCTGCACACCAGTTAGGCTGCTGAGCTCTTATCCACCACCAGCCACCTCCTCCCATGACAAGGAGTTTCCTGGGGTCTGTGTGGGCATACTGAGGGCACACTTGGTCTGAAGGACATGAGAACCCCTTCCATCTCAKTCGCCACTCAACTGCAGAGCCCAGTTAAGACACCATCTCGGGATGGGATTGTGGCTSAGTGGTAGAGCGCCTCTCTACAAGCCACCTTTTCTGGAGATTATAAGGACCAGATTCTGGAATGTCCAGAGGGGTTTCCAGTGCTCTGCCAGGAGCGGTGAGGACGGATGCTGGGACCTCTCCCCGTCCCCTGTCGAGGGAGCCCTGACGTTGGATACTCACATTGCAGCTGGAAGTCACACCGTCACCCCCAGCGCAGACCATGGTGGTCTTCACGGAGCTGCCCCACCAGCTAGCGCTGGAGCAGGTGGCGTAGTCCACAACCAGCAGCAGGCCCTGCTGCAGGATGTCGGGAGAAGCCCCATTGGCTGAGCGAGACCAGAAAGAATGGATCAGAGGGACAGGGGGACTCCTGAGTAAGAAGGAAGTGGTGACACCTGTTGGGCTGTCCCTCTAGCCCCTTTCGCTGTGGCCCTTGTCAGGGTCTCCCATGGCTCTAGTGGGAGCAGCCATGTTTTCTATCCTGTGCCCTCACAGCTGATTGGTCAGTATTCTGGCCGCTGCTGATTGGTTCGGGGGTGAGCACCTGACTTACACTAAGCCAATGAGCTTCTTCTCCTGGGAATTTGGGCTGGAGACTAGGAATTCCCGCCCAGGGAGGACTCAGCAGTGGCTGCCATTTTTTTTTTTTTTTTCTCCATGGAGAAAAGCTTGAGGGGGACCCACCCAGGAAAGAAATTCCGAGGGCGTGCTCATGAATTTCTTCCAGGCTCCAGTTCCTGGTTCTGGCCTGTTCCTAATGGCTGGCTGTGTCTCTCTGCCCCAGGGTTGAGACTCTTCAATCCTTAAAATCTTAAAGCACACTAGTTGGAAAAAATCGTTGGTGTGGTCAGGGTAGCACTTTCCTAGTAGCCCCCTGTGACACTGCCACCGTCACATACTACCCCATCAGCATTACCGYCCCTACTAATGGAGAGGATAAGGAGCATTTGCATTCTTGCCCTTTACTAGGCTTTCCAAAGAGGCAGTCCTGGMAGAAATATCAATAAATATTGTTTGATACATGGGACACTGAAATCAAGAGAAATGAAGTCCCTTGCCTAAGATCACTCTCACTGATATACAATTAACACTCAGATAACACCTGGCACGTTATCACACATGTCTTCTAATCTTCACCAACAGAGTTTCCACTTTAAAGATGAGGAAACCAAGGTCCAGAGGGGGTTGCTGAGGTTACATAGTGATCTTCAGGCAAGCGTTTGGACATCCCTGGCCCTGGCCACTCCACCATCTCACCATCTCCCTGCCCTGGGGTTTTCTGGGTAACAAATAGGTGGGCACACTTGTATCTGATTTGCATGAGACGCCCCCTCCACACTTCCTGCTTCTGCACAGTTTTCCTGTGTCCTTGGTTTTGAAGACAAGCTAGTCAGGGGGCCGTAGTCATTTCTCCGAGTGCATCAATGTTGATGTACTCATCTGTCACTCATAGATTTATGTCATTATGAAAAAGAAATCCCTCTTCTGCACAGACCTCCCTAGAATCTTCTAAACCTCTGGTGATTTTATAAGGGACGGGTAGGTGCTCTGTCCCTTTTGGTGGCATATTGTCATGGGATTTCTGACCCTTGGGTTTATGTCAAAAGAAGACCCACGCTCAACCATGTTCTCAGTAGCAAGACCAAGTGGCCCAGGAGACAGGTTTGGATAAGGGGGGGGGGTGTCCATGCGGGCTCCAGGGACCTCTGTGGAGCTCCAGAACCTTGAGGTCCCAGAATCTGTGCTGTTCTGGGCCCATCTGTGCTATGCAGAAGTGTTATATGGTCTCTGTACCGTTCATTCAATCCCAGTGACAGTAACAACTAGCACACAGCAGCTACTATGTGCCTTTGTTACTGGTCTGAGTGCCTCCCTTGGACTATCTCCTTCAATCCTCTCTGGGATGTAGGTGCTGTTATTATCCTCGTTTCACAGATGAAGAAACTAGCACAGAGGCCAAGTAATGTGCCCAAGGTCACACAGCAAATAGTGAGAGAGCTGGGATTTGAACCCAGGCCGCCTTGGATGACTAGTGGGGTGAGAGACCCAACCTGACAGGTGACAGCACCTTCCTTCCCTGCCTGGCCTGGGTGCTCCCGGCCAGGGCCAGCACTTACTCTGCAGCCTGCCCCAGCCTGTGACGTAGCAGGGGTAGTTGTTGGGTAAAATGGTGCCGGCAGGTGGGAGGCAGGCCAGTTGGATCTTATCAGTCAGGGTGACAGGTGTGGCCAGTTTGAGCAGGGCAATGTCATTCCTGGTCAGGAAAGAGACAGAGCTCAAGAGCATTAGCCAAGCAGGGCTTTGAAGAGTGCAGAGAGATTTCCCCGGGCTGATCCCCAGGGAGTGTAGCTGGGCATCTTTGAAAATGTAAAAGACCTTGTTAGGAGGCTTCAGGGACAGGAAATACAGAGGGACTGTGTCCTGCTCCACTGAGATCACCATCCCTGTGTCCCTTGTCATGGACTAGACACACATGGTCAGTGATGGCCTGGGGCACACAGAGGCCTACAGGCTCAGGAGGCAGGAGACCCAGGTTGCTCCCCGAGTCTGCTCCCTGCCCCCCCATCACCCCCCCCCAGGCAACTTTTGCACTGGCCGAACCTCTATGAGGTCAGAGCCCTTCCCCTCCTTACAGAAGGATCGAAGCGGTGGGGGTAGGGTAAGCCCATGGCCTTGGTGACACCCCGTCTGTGCTCCTGCCACCTCCACCCCCAGAGCCCTGAGACAGAGCGTACCCTTGGGCCAGATTGTTGTTCCACTTCTGGTGTACGACAGCCTTGGAGACCTTGATGGCCAGCGAGCCCGCCTCCTCGGTGGAGAGGCTGTGCCGGCCCAGCACCACGCGGTAGGTCCTGGAGGAGCTGGGAGGGCACAGAGGGTCAGTCCCTTGCCCTTAGGCCCCCCCCCTGGCAGGGACACCCAGGAGATGAGCCACTTGGGATGGGCCCAAGTAAGTGAAGGCTGCATGAGCCAGTAGTGGGGATTGGGACCTCGTCTTTCCTGGGAGCCATCTGTTGGTTACTAGGTAGGAGAAATGCCATAACATAAAACCCATCACCATGTGATGATTATAACAACCCTATACTAACTATAAACTGACTTAATAAAAGTTGTAATAATAGAAATCTGATACTACTCTGGAGGGAATGAGAAAAATAAGAGTCCCTTTTTAGTTTAATTCTCCACCCTTATTTTCTCTTGGGGAAACTGAGGCCCAGGGAGGGGTAAAGAGTCCAGAGAGAATCTAGAACAGCAGGACGCCTGGTTACCCGGCCTCTTTGTTTTTCCCACCCCCCTCTGAAAGCCTATACATCCGGTGGGGGTAGGTTCAATTTCAGGGCCAACCCACGCCAACCCACGTGGAATGCTGAAGAGTTCCAGCCCAGGTGAGGTAAGCCTCGGACATGGGGAGGAAGAGGGTGTCCTCTCGTTTCATTCACACTACATTCTGTTATGACTGCCAGGCGCCTGTGATCCCAGCCACCCAGGAGGCTGAGGCAGGAGGATGGCATGTTTGAGACCGGCTGGGACAATTTAGTAAGACCTTGTCTCAAAAATGTAAAAATGGCTGGGGAATGTGTCTTAGTGGTAGTACTGAAAAAAAAAAATTCTGTTATCTCATTTTTTTTCCTTGGGGATATGTTAAAACTTAGAGAAGTTATTTACACTGTGAAGTGGACCCAGTTCCAGATGGAGAGGCCACATCTGATACTCCCAGGAGGGCAGAAAGTGGGCCTCCCCGTCCTCCACACCGTCCCTCAGTCCAGCCAAGATTGTCAGTCGACAGCAGACTGAATTATAGGTCATCTAAAACTTGTGTCTGGCCAGGCAAGTGGTTATTTGCAAGGCCCCTTTAGAGTGTGGTTCAGGCCTTTGGGTCCCCTCTCTTGGAGGTGAGCACTGGCTGGTGGGGCGAGCGGCCTGGGTGACCTGAGAAAGGCAGTTAGTTACCTGATGCAGTGGGCAGCTGTCAAGACCCAGTTCTTGGCCACCAGGGACCCTCCGCAGGTGTGGCGCCACTGGCCATTGGCATTGTACTGCAGGGAGACCTGTGGAGAGGCACCTGTGGGCTGAGTTCTTCCTCTGAGAGCAGGTGAGGTGGCACCTTTCGCCCCAGGTGCAAAACTGAAGGGGCGCCTGAACCTCAGTTATCGGGGTAAAAAACCCTTTAGTGCTTTGTAGGATATAAATMGTCCGAATCTACACAAAAAGGCATGATTAAACAATATTGAAAAGTTAAATAGACTATTAAAAATTAACTTCTGAACATCTCTCTGGGATATGCCCCTTCTTCGGAACTATTTCCTTAGGACACGGCCCTCCAATTTAATATGTCCAAACCCAAACTCTTAATTTCCCCCAGACCTGTTCCATCCTCAGGATTCCCTGCACGGTCAATGCCACCTCCACTTTCCTGGCTGCTCAGGCTAAAATCCTTGGGGCCGCCCTGGGCCCCTTTCTCTCTTACCCCTCACTCAAACCCAAGAGCGAGCCAGCTGGGTGGCCCACACCTGCAATCCCAGAGACTCAGGAGGCTGAGGTGGGAGGATCACAAGTTTGAGGCCAGTCAGGGAAACTGAGAGACACCCTGCCTCAAAAAATAAAAAGGACTGGGGGTGTAGTTCCGTGGTCAGGTGCCCCTGGGTTCAATACCCAATACCAAGCACCAACGAAAACCAAACCAAACCCCATCAGCGGTAACTTTATACATGGAGAGAATGCTTCCCTTGTATCTTGACTCTGTCCCAGACGCCTCATCCCTTGCCTGGATGATATCCTGGTCTTCTGGGTTTTTTTTTTTTTTGGGGGGGTGGGGTGGAGCTGGGATGGAACCTGGGGCTTCACACATGCTAAGCACCCACTCTACCACTGAGCTGCACCCCTGCTCCTAGTCGCCTTTCTTTCTTCCAGCTCCCACTTTGGCCCACCCCTCACCCCAAACACACAGCAGCCAAAATGATCCTTTCTACACATAAATCTGATTATATCTCTGTTCAGAACCTCCAATGGCTCCCCCTCTTGCCCAGTGAAAACTCAAAATTCAGGTGGTCTACTAGGTCCTACATCACCTCTCTGACCTCAGCCTCCCACTCTCCTCCCCTTGGCCATGCTGACCTCCATTAGTTCTGCAAATATACCAAGCCTACTTCTGCCCCAGGGCCTTTGCCCTGGCTTCTGTTTATAAAATATTCCTGTTTATAAAATATTTATAAAATATTCCTGCTGCTGGAATATTTTTCTCCCAGGTATCAACCTATCTCCTCCATTCCTCTGGGTCTCTGTTCCAGGTTACCTTCTCCTCCTGAAGCCAGCATGACTTTGGGCACATTTTGGGTCCTGATCGATTTATACGGGAAATAGGGACCATAATGGTCACCATGCAGGGCCCTCAGGATGATTAATAATCACAGTATCCAACACTATGAACTTCCAGTAATTTGACCGCTCACCTTGTGCCCAGCACGGCCCTAAGCTCAGAGTATGCATTGGCTCATGTCTTAATTAAGGCAGCTGTGAGCACCTGTACAATGTGGTCTGTGCCGTGAAGACTGTTAACTATTTCTAATACGATGTGTGCAAAAAGGCAGTTTACTTGTTCCAGGTCATACCAACAGTACTTGGCGGAGCAGAGAGCTGAGCCTGGTCCCCGCTCCTGAACATTTTTTTGTAATGGATGGATCTGGAGACTGTCATGCTAAGTTAAATAAGCCAGTCCCCCCAAATCAAAGGTTGAATGTTTCCTCTGATATGCAGAAACTAATCCAAAATAAGGGAGGGGGGAGGTAAAAAAAAAGAATAGAGGAAAGATCAAAGGAGTAGACAAAGGGGAATGAAGGGAAGAGAGGAGGGATGGATAGGAAAGACAGTGGCATGAACCTGACCTATTTTTTCTATGTACATATATGAACATACCACAGTGAATTCCATCATCAACTAAAGTAAATAGCAGAAAGATCAGTTGAATAGAGGGAGGGGAAGGGGGGAGGGGGAGGGGAAGAGGAAGTACTGGGGACTGAATTAGAGCAAATTATAGCCCATGCTTTTATGATTATGTCAGAGTGAATCCTATTGCTATGCAGAACGCCAATAACAAAGTAAAAAATTCTACTTTAGTTCTAAAGTGCTTATGGTATTTCCGAGCAGAGCACGTTGTGGTTTGGATTTAGGGGTACTGAGGTAGGGCCATAGTCTTGGGGTGGGTGGGAGAGTCCTCTCAGGCAGTAGAGTGCCAGGCACATTAATTAATCCTGGCTTTGTCTAAAGTTCTGACATTTTGTTCATCCTGGATTTTTTTGCATAGTTTGCTTTTAAAAATGTTGCATGAAAACATTACTCATTTTTGGGTGCTGAGCCTTAAATTATTCTCCCAAATTGAGGGCTTCACTTGCCTCACCTGAGACTCTGCCTGGGCTAGATTGCCCACCCGACCCAATTAAAAAACAAAACAAACAAACAAACAAACAAAAAAACCTCCTCAGGGAAACAGAAGCAGGAGGGGCGGGAGCTCCCCAAGACTAACATTAATTGGTTCCCAAGGCAAGGATTGAACCAGGAAGTATTTTATGCAACATCAATTAGTTTCTCAGCACAAATACACTCTGGGTTTGGGGATCCCAGGGGGAGGGGCTGTTGCCCCCTTTCAACTTCCCACAGAAAACAGTGTGAGACTGAAAAAGGTGAAAAACTAGCAAAAGTACACAGAGCCAAGGGTGTAAATTGGGGAATATCAGGCACCATTCTGTCATTGACACTTTTTCCTTTTTGCTGTGCTGGGGATGGAACCCAGGGCCTGCTGCTTGACAGGCAAGCGCTCTGCCACTGAGCTACGCCCCACACTCCAGTTGTCACTTCCTTAATCTAGATGCCATTCCCTCGATGAAATATGCACCTGCTGCACGGGACCCCCTGGGCACTCATCTCTGACGGGTACTCTGACCACCTGGGTTAGAGATGTGCCCTGATCCAGCTGGGTCTGTTCCCAGCCTGTTTCCATCAGTTACACTTGCAATTTATGTGTTTTGATAAGACACAGAGCTGATGAAATATGAGTTCAAAAATAGAGCTGTGGGGGCTGGGGTTGTAGCTCAGGGGTAGAGCGCTTGCCTAACACGCATGAGACACTGGGTCCCGTCCTCAGCACCACATAAAAATAAATTAAATAAAGGTATTAAAAATTTGTTTTTAAAAAATAGAGCTGTGATTTATAGAGAAACTAAATTAAATGCTTGGAAGACACTGGCTAATGGTGACTCTTAAAAAATGGCAATTCCCCCCCCCMAAAAAAAAAAAAAAAGGGCTATTGAATTAGGCATCTGTGAAAAAAGTGGAAAGAAGCGGGGAAGGGGTGGGGATGGGGCAGAGATGACAAAAGTCAGGACCAGCTCATTACACAGATTGCTTCAGGAGCAGCTTCAAGTTCTGCTCTACTTGGGATAGGGAGGAAGAGCATGAGAAGAAGATTACCACTAAATAGGGAAGAGAGGTGGGAAGGAAAAGGAGGGAGAAGGGGAGTTGCACGGAAGATGGAAGGAGACCCTCATCATTATACAGAATACAAGTATGATGTTATGAAGAGAAAAAAAAAGTGTGTCACATTAGATTGGATAGAGAGAAATGATGGGAGGGGAGGGGAGGGGAAGGGGGGATAGGAAGGGCAGCAGAATAGAATAGACATTATGATTGCTGTATGTATATAGGTGACTCTATGACCAGTGTGATTCTGCAATCTGTACAAGCAGAAAAATGAGAAATTATACCCCAATTGTTTCAAATGTATGAATTGCCAAGATCATTGTAATGTCATGTGTAGCTAAAAAAAAAAAAAAAAAAAAAAAAAGTTCTGCTCTACTTGAAAGAAATGGACGTAGGTGCCATATTACAGGGGTTGGTTTTTATAAGAAAGTTAAGAATTCAAAAGATTGGTGAACAGATAAGTAAAATGTGTATTAAGCATTTCTAAATCAAAATAAAATGTTTAAAGCATACATGTAGGATTGAAAATGATTTTTCTATACCAACTTTTCAATTACTCAGTCCCAACTATGTCAGACAGGAGAGTTTCCTACATTTGTTTATGCAATTGTAAATTCACTCATCTTTGTGTGCCCGGTCACTAAAAGTCTATAATGTGGGCCTGTGTCCCAGACAGTGTTTCAGTCTTGATTTCTGTATATTACGTCAAGGTAAGGAAGCATTTGTTTTCATTGATAACATGGAATTGAAGATTAATTTGCATAAGCAGCACTGATTGGTTTCATAAAGCATGGGCATTTGCATAGATGGTGATGAATGGCTCATAAAAATAACAGTACTTGTGTAAGCAAATGTCTGATTGGTTAACAGAGTGAGACTATTTAGGAACTTGGGTGCAGGGGTAGTGGGGTGGTGCAGGGGTAGTGGGGTGGCGTGGCTCCTTATGGAAGCTGGAAAAGGCACCTCTTCCCCAGCCCCAAGGTTGGCCAAGGACACAAAAATGTGTGGGTTTTTTGTTTTTTTTTTTTTTGGTGAAGTTGTCCAAGCTGCCTTCTGAGGTCCCACCAATCCTCAACTCTGCCAGCATAACAGACCCCAGGGTGGGAGGGCAAAGGGGGGATGAGAAATGATGGGGTGGGAGGAGGGTACAGAGTGGTTGACTCACCTGCCAGGGCCAGCTGTTGGGTGTCGCCGCTTCACCTCCAACCACCCTGCTCAGTTGGGGCAGGTGAGTGGGGAGCCCACAGCTGAGAGCTGTGGAAGGAGAACCGGGGGCGAGTACAGGAAGCAGCCACCCAATCAATGGAGACTATGCTTGCTGCACACCCAGCACCCAGATAGAAAAGCCTTGCTCTAGAAGGACCCCAAGAGGTCTCAGTCCAGCTTTGCTTTGCTTCTCTGAAACTCCACTCCAACCTTCCTATAACTACACAGGGTGGAGTGCAGTGGGAGAGGGCCAGGTGGGGATGGAGGGCAGGGAGGTCCCCTTCCCAGTCCCACCAGGAGTTGGGAGAGCGGCGCCTCCGGGTGATGGGGTTACCTCCAGCCACCAACGCAGACAGCAGTAGGGTCTTGATCATGGTGAGTCCGTGGGAGTTCTGGAAGCCCGGCCGTGGCTGAGCCCTTGTTTTATGAGCTGATTATCAGCAGGCGATATAGCAGGAGCTGCAAGATGGAGATTTTCCCAAAGCTCAATGGAATAAAAGGTTGGCGTCCAAATGTTTTTTTCCGTCGTCTTCTACCGTCATCCTGAAAACACACCGATAAAGATGCCAAAGGTAGCTATTGAAATGTGAGTTCTATCTACTTTCAAGAGGTTATGTGTGTGTCAAGAGAAGAAAATTATGGGTTATTGGTTCTTGGGGTTGCATTTTTCAAAGAAAAGATGAAACTGGCAACGAGCCCCCGGGCCCGTGGTTCTCGGGTTTAGCTACTGGGAGACGTTGGATGATGTCTGGAGCTGTTTTGGGTCATTGGGGCTGGGGTTGGGGTACTCTTGGAATCTGGAGGGAAGGGAACAGAGAGGCTGGTAAACACCCTACAATGCACAGGGCATAAGAAACTGTCCCCCTCCCAACGTCAGTGGTGTTGAGATCGAGAAACCCTGTTCCAGGCAATGCCATAGCTTGTGTGTGACCCAGGTTGAGTCATGTAAGTGTCTAGGCCCAGGGTCACCTGTTTGTGAAACAGGGAGGGAAACATGTACCTAGCTTGTCTCAGAGCATTGGAGGATTTGCAAAGCATAGGGGAACATGCTTAGGAGAAGGGCAAGGTGGACCCCCACAGTTGGGGTTTAGCAGTCCCAGTGATGGGACAGAGGAGAGTGCTGGCAGAGGACAGCGTCCCTGGGGTGGATCAGATGTCTTTTGTGGTCTGCTCCTAAGACAACAGTGGTTTGCATTTTTCCAAACTCTGTCTTCCAAATGGGATCAAAGCAAGAGCTTCTTAGAGGAGCCAATAAAGGCAGACACGCTGACACTCACCAAGCACCTTAGATAGGTTAGATGCTGGCACATTTGTTATTTAAACCTTAGACAACCCTGCAAGAAAGTCCTTTATTTCAGATGAGGAAGCTGAAGCTCAGAGAGGTGAAGTGACTAGCTCAAGACCACACAGCTTCTAAGCAGCAGAATGAAGATTCAAACCCAGGATGGTCTGATTCCAGAGCCAAGGTCTGATTACTTGAGCCACTGAAGATGACATTCTGCGTGACATCTTAGTACTGTAAAAGCCCCCTGTTGGCAAGAGAAGGGTGGAGAAAAAGAGCCCGTTTTCCTGATGGGCTTTCCTGCTCTTCCTGGGGCCTTAACTCCTGCTGTGGGCAGAGCACAGTGCCAGGCAGGCAAGGTGCGGGTGAGGTGGCCCTGCTCTGTGGTCACAGACTCTACTTCTTTCTCCAACCAGAAAAGCAGAGGGAAAAAAACTTCAGACATCAGCTGTAGACCTGGATCAAGTCTTTGCCTGCCAGTATTTTGTGGGATTGTGTTATGTGTTAGAATCTGGAGTCCAAGAACTTGGTAACCTCCCAAGGATCGCACAGGGTGAGGGGACCTGGGCTGCAGAATCCCCCTTGGGTTGGATGTCAGAGGACCTGGCTTCTGGTCCCCGTCCTACTCCTGACTTTCTGTAACACCTTGGACCCTTAGACTACGGCAACCAGCTATTCCTGAGGCGTCATATTTTATCTTAAAGGTAAATGTGAATGTGGCATTCTGTATATGTTTGTTTTAATATAAAAACAGAGTTTTCCTTTGTGAGTCATTGGACAAACACCAGGTGATACCTGCCGGGGACTTGCTGTGTGACCTTGGGCAAATCACAGAGGCGCTCTGGCCCATTTTCACAAAACAGGCATTATGGTTTAGATGTGAAGTGGCCCTAGGAAGGAAAGTGACCATGATTACTTGGAGTGACCAAGAGATCTTTATTGAAAAAAAGGAAAGGGAGAGGGAGAGGGAGGGGGAGGGGGAGGGGGAGGGGGCTGGCAGGAGAAAGTTTTAATAGCCCTTTGGTGTGCTGCTTAAGTCTAATAGGGTCCCTGGGTCTGCAAGCTGCCTTGTTGGTGTGCACTGATTGGGTCACACAGTGGTGGCTAAGGGTGTCATCTTCTGCCTTCAAGTGGACTGAGCATAGGCTAGGCGTGGGTTGCAAATTGACAAGAGGAAGTAAAGGGAAAAGGTGCCAAATAACCCAAAGGGTAAGGAAGCGTGGGGCCTGGGTACTCAGTTTACCCTGCAGCTCACAGCCCCCAAAGCTCGTGTGTGAGACAAGGCCAGAAAGCTCAGAGCTGAAGTGACTGGGTTCAGAGTCTTGACCCGATCCCTGGTGGGGCTTAACTGGGTGACTGTCGGCAGGAGGCTGTGGCTGGGGGAGATGGGTCCCTGGGGTTGAGCCTTTGGGGTTAATATTTTGTTGTGGTGAGAACTCTCTCTGTGGTTCCTGGAGGCCGGGTCCTGACCTACTTTCTTCTTCATACTTTCCCTCCGGGATGCTCTGTCTCATCTTGGGCCCACAGCAATGGGCTGGCCGTCTTTGGACTAGGACCTCTGAAACTGACCACCCCCAGATCAACTTTTCCTCCTTAAAATTGCTCTTGTCAGGTCTTTTGGTCACAGCAGCCAAAAAGCTGACTGAAACAGAAATTGGTAGCTTGAAGCGGGGTTGCTGTTGCGACTAGCCTGGCCATGCCGTTTAGAAGCTTTAGGAGGTTTTTGGAGTCTGTGGGAGGAGTTTTGAGAACTTTAGAGATGCAAGCTGGAAAGGTTTTGGATTGCTGTAAGCAGAGTTTAAGAGGCGATTCTGGTGGGAGCTCAGAGGACCGGATTGCTGAGAGGACTGTGGACAGTCGAGACCGGGGTCCTGAGGCTTCAGAGGAGGAAATTGGAGGAGAGGCCATTCATGTGATGTGTTGGTTAAGAAGTCGTCAACTTTTGCCCATGACCTGAGACTTTGTGTGAGACTGTGTTTAAAGGTGATGGACTAGCTAATCCGGCAGAGGAGATTTCCAGGCAGCAGAGCATTCAGGCCGTGGCATGGATATGGCCGGCAGCTTTTGGCCAAGTGTACTGTGATAATCAGGAGCAGAAAGCAAAGCATAAAGGTCTGAAAAGTTTGCAGTTTGGCCAGAAAACTGCAAGTAAAACTGTGGCTAAAGAAGTTGGATTTGTTAAAGACATTATAGCTACTAAAGAAATGCTAAATTCCTTAACCTGAGACAATAGGTAAAATGGCTTGAGGGCATCTCAGGCTCAAGGGGATAAAAGTAAAAATTCCTCAGAGAAGAGACCAGTGGGCACCCAGTTTGCACAGGGGGGCCTAGGAAGTTGCTTCACCAGGCCCAGCCACCCAGGCACTCAGAGGCTGCTGCAGCCCTGGTCCCTGGAGGCTTGGCTATTGCTCAAGATGGAGGGAAACCTTGGCAGCAAGCATGTGTGCTGGTTCTGTAGGAAAGCTCTGGGGTCAGGGGGTCATTGGGGGCTTCCACTGGACTTTCAGAGGAAGGCCTGGGAGGCCAGGCAAGGTGCAGCGGGGGTGGATTCCCTGCAGGCTGCTCCTGAGAGGGTGACAGGTGGAGATGTGAGGAGGAAGCCAAAGCTGCGGTGGAGACCCCTCCCCCCAGATTAAGGAGACCCCTCCTCCCCAGATTAAGGAACGCCAGGCCTGAGGAAAGCTCCAGGATTCAAGCGAAGACAAGCCAAGAGAGAGGCCATGTGATGCCAGATTCATAGGACCCCAATAGACTTCCAGGAGCCGAATCCGATGCAATCATATGAGAGTCTTTTTTTTTTTTTTTTTTTTTAAGAGAGACTGAGAGAGGAGAGAGAGAGAGAGAGAATTTTTCATATTTATTTTCTAGTTCACGGCGGACACAACATCTTTGTTGGTATGTGGTGCTGAGGATCGAACCCAGGCCGCACGCATGCCAGGGAAGCGCGCTACCGCTTGAGCCACATCCCCAGCCCCATATGAGAGTCTTTATTGCAAGCTCGAGCCTGGACTCACAACCGTTCCCGACGTAGCCGTCCCAGGGACTGAGTCCTGGTCCTTTGTTCAGTGAGATTTTATAGGTTCTTGGGGACACTCTATGTGTCACAACGTCACACAGCAAATCATTTCACACCGAGGGGAAAATCAAACAACAACTCTTAACATTGATTAGCACGTTCCCTGGTGGGAACAAGTTGGGTAGGGGTGATTGGTTAGTACAAGAGGGGGATTCCTTTGAACTGATTGGTTTAGGCCTCCAGGGGTTGCAAGAGTGTATATGCTAAACTGCTGGGTGGCCTAATCACCTTATCAATCACCGAAACTCCTGGGAGGGTCACCTGGCATTTCAGATCTGTTACCTGTCTTGCTCTGATTGGCTGTTGCTATGGTCCGAAATTAGGTCTCAAGCATTCTTTTGGTCTTTTCGGGAACTTGCATTTGCTGAGTCAAGGACTTACGACAAATGACTCAGCAGGGTAGCTACATGCCTAGGAACCTGGGTCATCCCTGCACCCCCACCTTTGGACAGGCCCTGCTCTGAAGTAGAGGCTGTTTTTTTCAAAAATGGAGTCACATCAGTTTCTCAGCCTGGTGGGCTGCAACCAGCAAAGCCACAGGGGGGAGCTACACAAGCCCATTTGGAGAGAATGTCATGTGCCCCAGATGCCTTTGGTCTTGTTTTGATCCCATCCCTTCTTTCTGTGTCCCTATTTGCCTCTCATGGAATGGGAAAGTTTGCCCTTTTGACTTTTGGGAAATCTTGAAAATGGACTGACTGTATTTTGCACTGTGAGACAGGCATGAGCTTTTGGGGGCCAGGGGCAGAATTGAGGCGTCCCCAAAAAATTCATGTGTGAGACTGATGAGAGCCATAGCCTGAGTCCGAATGACGCATGGCATTTTTGCCAGAACAGCGTGGTTGAGAGGTGACGCCAGCAAGCCATTGAGATGATCATGGTTATGTTAAGCTGTGTATATTAGACCCCTGCTGTCCACCTTAGCCTGCTACTTTGGAGTTCTCCTAGGGATTCCCGGAGAGTTCCCATTGGTTGGGGAAGTGCCGGAGGCGGGATTTCCGGTTGGTGGTTCCTGG